CCACAGAACCCAGGAGGTAAGAATTCCCTGTTGTTTTAAGCCACTGGGTTTATGGTCATTTGTTCTGCAGCAAATGAAAACTAATACAATGATCTTACTTTGCACCATATGAAATTGCCACTCGAGACGGTCAGAACAAGCTGGGCACAGGCAACTGCACACAGTTCAGCACCATAAAGCCGGGCGGTGCCTCGCTGGTAGTGAGCACTCCATAAGCCCTGCTGTCACTATTCCCCGGGCTCCACCACACGAGAGCCTTGGCGTAGTCAGTGGTTCAATGGACCTTTTTCTTCCAGCTGGCTTTGACAGCTGCTGCAATGTCCCCAGGCCCCTCCATCCAATGCCCCCTCCCCTTGCCTGCCAGAAGAAAACAGAGTAGATTCCCGCTGACGCAGCCCCCAAGCTTGGCCGCCTCTTGGGCCCCAAGGCAGCCAAACTCCAACCTGCCAGACAGCAAATGTATCTCTGGGGCAGAGACAGCAGCTGCCCATCAGCCCATACCAGCGGTGGGGACAGAGCAGCTGTGTGAGAGACACCAGCTGAGCTGTGTGACCAGGCTGCCCCTGGCCTGCCCCTCTTCCCTTCCCTGGGGCTCAGGAGCCCACCATGTGGCACTGGGCATTGCTTCTCTAGAAGGACCCAGTCCAGGTGCAAAAGTTTCCTGTTACATTAAAAAAATGCAAATTGGCCAGGCAGGGTGGCACATGCCTGTAATTCCAGCTACCCAGAAACTAAGGCAGGAGGATGGCAAGTTCAAGGCCAGCCTGGGCAACTTGGTAAGACCCTGACTAAAAAAGAGGGACTGGGCTGGGATACCGCTCAGCTAGTAGAGTGCTTGCCTCACATGCACAAGGCCCTGGGTTCGATCCCCAGCACAACAACAATAAAAAAGAGGGGTTGGGGGCTAGGGCTGAAGCTCAGTGGTAGAGTACCCTGGGTTTAATGATCAGTATGGGGGAGGGAGCAAATCATTCTTTTTTGGGGGGGCGTACCAGAGTTTGAACACAGAGGCACGCAACCACTGAGCCACATCCCCAGCCCTATTTTGTATTTTTTTTGTTTAGAGACAAGGTCTCCCTGAGTTGCTTAGTGTCTTGCTGCTGCTGAGGCTGGCTTTGAACTCATGACCCTCCTGCCTCAGCCTCCCAAGCCATTAAGATTACAGGTGTGCGCCACCATGCCCTATGCAAATCGTTTTTTTTAACTAACATATTAATATGCTGGTTCAGGATGCACAGAGACTTCAAAAATAATATGGCCTTTGGGGAATGGACAAGGGACAAGTAAGTTTCAATTGGGTCTGAGAGTGGCTGACAAAACCAGAAAAGGCCTCGGAACTATCAGGAGAAGTAAAAGCTTTGGGCTCAAGAAGGATCTTTAGAGTCACATTTCCCACAACGTCTGCTGATATCTAGTTCCATAACCATCTGCCGTACCCACTCCCAAAACCACCTCTAAACATCTCTAGATCAATGTCCAGAATCCACGCAAGTCTTGGAACCCACCTATCGAGGTGTCAAATAGATGGACATAAATCACTATTCATGGATAAACCCTTGAGTCCCCACAACTGATATTTATGCTTCCTTTACAAAGGAGGCACAGACAGGCTAAGTAGCCCACCTGGGACCACAGGAACAAAACCAGGAGGAACCCAGATGCATCCACATTCTTTTTTTTTTTTTGTACTAGAGATTGAACCCAGAAGTACTTAACCATTGAGCCATCCCCAGCCCTTTTTATTTTTTATCTTGAGACAGGGTTTCACTAAGTTGCTCAGGGTCTTGCTAAATTGCTGAGGCTGGCCTCAAACTTGTGATCCTCCTACCTTAGAGCCGCTGGGATTACAGGTGTGAACCACCACTCCCAGCCTGGACGCACATTTTTAATCACTGTGTCAAACAACCAAAGGTTTTCTAATCTTCAACCCAGAGTAAACCAAAGTTGAAAAAAATCATTGTTTGGGGGTGAACTAGAAGCTGAATCCAGGAGGTACTCTGCCTGAAGCAAAGGCCCAAACCAGTCTATCCCGCAGTGTCATCTGCCTTCGGCAAAGACTTGGCCTGCCTCACGGTGGTGGCTCCGTGCTAGGGCTCAGAATGAGTCTCCATACCAGGTAGCATTGCTTAGCTGGGGCGCCCTGGGACAGGCACTGCCAGTGCCTCCTCTTGGCACTAAGCAGAAAGCTCCTGGGGCTGGGGTGGGGGTGGGCAGGAATTTATATGGAGCGCAGAGAGAAGGGAACACAGGAGATCCCTGGGCGCCAGAGATGACAACTCACACCATCCCTGAAACACCGTCTCTCCAGATGCCCATTCTGAACCCCTGGAGTTCTCACCCACCAGCCCCTCTGCCTCTCCTACTGCTCCCTGCCTTCCAGCATGTGTCACCTAGATGCTCACACAGCGGTATCCCGTAGCCTCCTCTCCTGGGTCCCACTGATGCTGAACACAGGGCGCAGAGAAGTGGGACTTGACCCTTTAACTGGTGGCCACAGAGTAAAGAATATGCTAGAGAAGTCCACCCATGCATCTCTCCCTCCCCCCCACCCTCCATTTCCTCTTCCTATGTCTGTCTGTCTGTCTCTCTCCATTCTGGAACCTGGAGAGTTGGTCCCTGGTAAAGCAAAGAGATGATCTACAATTTCAAAGTCCACCAAGATTGATTTTTTTTTTTTTTGCCTATCCTCTGTTCCAAATGACTCCTCTCTCCTTATCTCTCCTCACCAAAATCCACGTTCCCACTCTCTTTTTGGAGAGCAGGGGTAGGGCCCAGGTCAGGCCCTCCTCAGGCTGACAGATCATGTCCCCTAAGAGGGAATAGACACTGGATGAACCCTAGAACCACAACCTGCAGGGACTCAGATGCATCTCCAGGTACTTCTTATGCAAGAGACTGGCATCCTCTGGACACCTCCACTTGCAGAGAGCAAGCAGCGGGGACCAAATGTCATCACCTTGAGTAATCTTTGTAGCTACTCACTGAGCACCACGGTGCGCCATGCTGGGTGCATCTTGATCCTCCATTCCTGCCAGTTAATCCCACCAACAGTACTTGGGCTTACTATGTGCCAGGCACTGTCCTAAGCAACGAGCTGCCTTTGTGAGCAAGGTTTCTCCATGAACATACAGACGGGACAAATGGGGAAACGGAGGCTTGAAGTTTGTCCCTAGCAGGGAATCAGAGGTTCCATTACAAGATGTGACTCTGTGAGCACATTATCACCTGTCTTCTGCCTCCTTTCCTCTCCGCTAGGGTGGCGGGTTCCAAGTGGCTGATACAGCCTGGGAATCCCTGCCTTCCAATGCTCAGGAAGATGCTTTGCTAGAGATGGGATAAATCTGCACACTTGAGATGCCCACTACGTATGACTGACCCTGGGCCAGGACTGAATACCAGGGCCCAGGTAACACAGAAGGCAGTGATTTGAGCTGGGTGTCTCACGGGTGAGAGGAGCCTGGAAGTGAGAGCACAAGGCTGGGCTCTTCAGAGTCGGGGACACGAAGGAGGAGTGAAGTCTGTTCTAAGGCCCGGAGACAGGAAGGATCTCAAGAGGACTCTGAGGCAAGGGGCTGATTGAAGGCCGAGGGGTGCAGCAGGGGCAGGAGTCGGAGGGCCTGTTTAAGGTTGAGGAGGTGAGACTGGAGCTCATGGGCCATTTGGAATCTTCCAGCACAGCAATGGCAAGAGGCAAATGGCCCTGGGAGATGATTCCGACAGCCCTGTGGCAGGCGGTGGGGGCATCTGGAAGCTATCACAGCAGCCCCCGGAGGGTCTGGCTGTGGGGGTGCTGCCGTTCTACCCCACCAGCCTTCACTTGCCCTCAACTTCTAGCCTTCAGGAGAAAGTCCCCCAAGTCCTTCCCTCTTTCAAGACCCAGACCAGTGTCTCTGGCTCTACCTACAATGCCCCAATCGATATCTCAACTTTGTAGGGCGGGGGGGGGGGGGGGGCACAAGGAGGGTGAGGGACACTCTGGCCAAAAAGTGACCTAGAAGAAGATGGGATGGGTGATTTGGAACAAGGGCTCCACATACCATTGGTTACTGGGGGTGGGGATGCCTCACTGGAGGAACCTCAAGAAGGGCTATGCCTGAGCCACAGTACCCCTCAGTCCCAGCAAGGCAGTGACTCTAGGCCAATCACAAAAGGGCTGCGTCAGGGAAAAATCTCCCCTTCTCCACCTCTACCCTCTTACTGCCTGGGGCAGCCACCTCCACAACTATAAGAAGCCAGCTCTTAAGGAAGTTACCACAAATCCTGTGTGACATGACTTGAGGATTTGGGGGTTGTAGTCCACAAAAATACTCCTCTCCTGCTCATTCTAAAATTTCACCAGCGGTGTTCCGAGCCTTTGGTTTAAGGTTTCTGACCCAAGTTATTATTTTGTTTTGCTTTTTTTTTTTTAATGGTGTCACTTCAAGTTGCTATGGATTATCCACACCTCAGTATGAATGAGTCAATCTGATCCTTTTTCCTGTTGTTGGAGGTGAAGGAAGGCTTTGGAATCCCGAGTTCTAGGACCGTGAGGAGGTGGGGAGAGAAGATAAGGATGCTGAGCAGCACCGGAGGAGAGGAGAGAAGAGGGCAAAGAATGGGGAAGGTTGGCATGCCTGTGAGGAATGGGGCAAGTCTCTCCCTTCTCCATTTATGGAGGTGTTGATCAGAGATAGCAAGCGGGGACCCTGCTGCATCTCCCCTCCCCTGCTCTGGTGCCTAGACCCCTGTTCCTGTCTCTTCCCGCAGTCCTCGAAGCAACAGCCTGGAGTGCAAACTTTCCGGGCTATGACCCCAGCCGGGCTTCCCATTCTGCTGTCGCCACCCGCAGCTAGGCAGGGGCTCTTGACGGACCCCCGTGGGGTGGGATGGGGTGGGGGGCGTCCTGGAGGCGAGGACACTCTGGGAAAGGGGCTCTAGGAGATAAGAGGGTCAGAGCGGCAGGGGCCGCGGGGCTCTGGTCCAGGGGCGGGGCAGGGGGACCCGGCCAGCGGGCGGCTCACCTGCAGGACACGGTGATCTCCACCTTGGTGGCCGGGATGCTGCCCGCCAAGGAGTCGAACTCGCTCAGCGACGCCATGTCCTCAGGCTGCTCCATCACCCACCGCACCCCCCACCCCAAATTAGTCAATTCCTGCGCGATTCACGCCTCCTCCGGAGCGACTGGAGCCCTGGGCTCTCCCCCAACTCCGGAGCCGGGGCTGGGCGGCCAGGGGCGGAGAGGAGCGCGAAGAGGGGGCGTGGGAAGTGAGAGAGGGAGGGGGGCGGAGGGAGCGGGGGCCGCGGGGAGAAGAGGGGGTGCGGGTGACGCTGCGACGAGGCTGGGGGCCCAGCGGAGAGGGGCCAGGAGCCTGGGGAGCTGGGGCGCAGCGGGGAGAGACGGAGAGGGGCTCCGGGGAGAGGGCACCGGGAGGGACGAGCGGAGTCGTAGACAGGGGCGCGGGCAGCGGGGCGTGCGGCTGTGGGCGGGGGTAGAAGGGGTGCAGGAGCCCGGGAGAGGGTTGTGGGGGACCGAGGCGCGGGAGGGGGTGAGGGCGGCGGGGGTGGCAGGGCGCGGGCAGCGCAGAGCCCCGAGCGCCCGGACTGCGCCGCCTCTCCCTGGGTCTCGGCGCGGGCGGCGGCGGGGCTGGGACGCGGCGGTGAGCGCCACCTCCTCGGCTGGGGCTCCGGCTCCGGGGCGCCCGGACTGCGGGAAAATCAAATCTGCCCGAAGCCGCCGCCTCCCGCCACCCAGGGCGGGCTGCGTGCGGGGCCGCGAGCGCCGGAGGGGCCGCCCGCAGGGGCCGGGGCGGGGCCGCGGGCGGGGTCTGCGCGCGGTGTTGAGTGCGTGTGAGCGGGTGAGTCTGTGTGTGTATGTGTGCGTGGTGGGCGTGGGGACGCGGCTCCCGATCCTGGGACAAGGGTAGCAACAGCCAGAGATGGTTCCAGGTGCGCGCGTCTTCCTCTGCGCCGTCCTCCATCCTGGTCAAGGGTCTCCGCACTGGGGGAGGGAGAGGGGCTTGTGAACCACGGGGCACCTGTTTGAAAAAGGTCTAGGCAGGACAGGTGGCAGGACAGGTGGCGGGGTGAGGGGAATGTGTGCATAGAGGGGGTCGGGTTACAGGGTCTCTCCCAGAAGCGGACTTACTTTCTACTGGGCAGGGAGGGTGGCGACCCCAGTGCCGGGAGAGGGCACCTCGATTTCCCAGTTAGGGCCTTTTGGCCCTGGGTCGGTTCCTAGGTGCTTCCCCTTCCCTCCTCGGGTTCCCTCCGGTTCTGGCCTCGCGGAGTCAGCCACCTAAGCCGCGCGCCAGCGCCCTCCTCCTCCCCCGCCCGTCGTGACCACACGGCCGTGCCAGCCCCCGGGTCTAGAAGCTTCTGCCACCAGACTAGGAGGATGGCCTGAGCTCCACGGGCTTCAATGCAACCAGCACCGAGTAAGGGCCTGCACCGAGTAAGGGGGGGGGCGGGGCTCCAGGACCTGCCCTAGAGAACCACAGAGTTGGAGCACCTTTCAGCAGCCCCCTGCCCAGCAGAGCCTCTAGCGGTCTCCAGCCCGCCCTCCCGGGTCTGGGGTTGTAGCGCTGAGGCGTCTCTTGGAGACTGCGCACGTAGTCTTGCCTCACAAAATCCACCCGCGGCCCCTCCTCAGCCTGTCTAAGCTCTGCTAACATGGAGCTCCACTTCCGCACCCGCCGCCCCACGTTGTCCAAACCTGATGCACAGGAGGCCAAAAGTCTGAGCCTGGACCGCGAAGCGTGGAGCCTCTGGACCTGCGTTTGGCGGCCAGAGTGCGGGACGCGCCCATATCCTGTTTGAAGTCAACACATCAGATAGAGCCAGAATAGAAGATGAGCAGAATACATCTAGACAGCCAGGGTATAAGATAAGAACGCGTTCTTGGGGCTGGGACAAGTGTTTTTTGTTTACCCAACTCTGCTGTTCTGCCACCTGGGACAGAGAGGGACAAAGGCGATGGGAATTCCCAGGGCAGGAGGGAGAAGGTGGGTCAGGAGACTTCACTTTTGGATTTGGGCCTGCGACTCTTCCTCCACAGAGAATATTCAAGTTCTTTTGCTTCCTTTTTAGATCTATTTTTTTTTTGAAGTTTTTATTGATTTTAAATTTAAAACAAAATCCAGAGTAAACTACAAAATTCAGTTTGAACCACCAGTAGGAATACAGTGTAGTGGTGGAGTTGGTCTTTTGCTTGTTTTTCTTTTCTTTTGTTAATAGTGGGAACTGAACCCAGGGGTGCTGTACCTCTGAGCTACATCCCTAGACCTGTTTATTATTTTTTAGACAGGGTGTGGCTAAATTGCTCAAGCTGGCCCCCAACTTGAGGTCCTCCTGCCTCAACCTCCCGAGTGCCTGGGATTAAAGGCATGTGCCACAACATCAGGCTAGGTACACAATGTTATCTATATATTTTAAAAAATTATTATTCTACATAATAATAGACCAGAATTTACAGCATAGCATAATGTGAAGTTTTCATTCCAGTGCGTTCTGTTTTCTTAGAATAATTAATTTTTTATTTGACATCGTTAATAGAGTTACACAAAAACAGAAAAATATTTTTAAGCAATTTGTCAAAACTTGTTATGAACATATTTTAAAACAGCATTCTGCACTGACAGTGGTGGCGGCATTCGCCTGTAATCCCAGTGACTCAAGAGGCTGAGGCAGGAGGATCCCAAATTTGAGGCCAGCTTCAAATTTAGCCGGGCTCCAAGCAATTTAGTGAGACTCTGTCTCAAAATAAAAAATTAAAAAGGACTGGGGCTCAACTCAACGGTAAAGTGTCCCTGGATTCAATCCTCAGCGCACGCGCACACACACAACCATACAACCCTGCAAATGATTGGTTGAAGAAGAAACACCAGGTGCCTGGAAGTAAACAGCCATTAGGTAGCCATGCCTTCTCTCGTGCATGTTGTCAGCCCCAGGGCTACTTCCAACCCTGTCCAGGGCAGTGTTAACCTTCTCTCCTTATTTAAAACACCACACTTCTTTTCTTCCGGGATGAAATAACGCCAGATCTGAATCTCTGTGTTCCCACCCCCCACATACCTAACATAGACAAATGCTCAGAATGTCCTTGTGGAATTTGCTCTCCATTTATTCCGTGAGTATTTACTGAGCACCTGCTGTGGACCTGGCCTGCTGCAAGGCCACTTGGGAAGTATTGTTAGCAATGATCACCACCATTTAATTTTTAAAGAACTGGGCCAGACATCATGCTTAATTTGTTTTAAAAAAGATATTATTCATATTCCATAAATCACCATCTGAAAGTGTATAGTTCAGTGGTTGGTAGATTATTCATAAGGACCGTGTGTGATTTTTAAATTCTCAAAATTACTATCATTATGCACACTTTATAAATAAGGAAACTAGTGTTCAGAGAGGCTAAGTCACTTGCCATGATCACTTAGCTGGGAACTGGCTGAACCCAGGCAGTGAGACCAAAGCCTGACACTGGGTAAGAGGCATTTTAGGATGGGCTGGATGATGGAAGGTCTTAAAGTCACACATGAAATGAAGTCCTTGGGGGGTAGGGGAATAACGGGGAGCCATTACAAGTTGTTGAGCAGGTGAGAGATGAGATTAAAGTTCTACCAAGCAGCCTTGTAAAGTGATAGCATTTGGAGTAGCAACCCAAGGGTTTCTTTCTAGAAAGAGTAGAATGTATCTGTCACTCCACTCCTTTTACTTTTGCTGGCTCTTTGGCAAAACAAGAAAACTATATTGGGCATCTGCTTTGTGCTAGGTGCTGTTCTAGATCCAGAGAATAAAAAAGCAGAAAGAACAAAGTATCTGGCCTTAAGAGGTCCCAGGTTTGTGGGGGCCTAGGACATGCAGACAGGTAAACCACAGTATGGCCTGAGGAGAGCTGCTGAGGTTGGCATAAAGGGTCCTGGGAACAGAGGAGAGTGACTGACAGCCCTCCAGGCGCCAGAACAAGGGCAGGCACAGGGAAACTGCAGACAGGAGGTATTGAGATGGCCATTGAGGATGCTGTCTTAATTTGCCCCAGAAGTAGCCCCTGAAACCAAGGTTGACAGGGAGGAGTTTACTGGGGAGGCTAAGGAGACGCTATGTGGGGAGTGTGGTGGGGAGATGGGGAGGGCAGCAGCCAGAAGAAGCTGCCCTCATTCCCACTGAGGAGATCGTGGGACATGCCTCAAACTACCCACCGAGGGGTGGGGGAGCCTGCCATTGGCTCAGAGGCCGAGGGTTGCTTCTGGAGGGCATCGATTTCCAGGCCCTTCTGGCCTGACAAGCACCGAATGGCAATTCAGGCTCCAGAAGCCAGAGAAAACCTCAGGCAAAGAAACAAAGGTGCTGGCAGGTGCTGGGGCTGGAGCCCAATGCGGTGTTAAAGGTGAAAGCTGAAGGGATGGACCAGGCCCTGACCATGAACTTCTGCCCACAGGATGCGGCTGAGCAGGCATTCCTGCGGGACACCAGCATGATTATGGGCCAGAGAGCTATGCTTGGGGATCTCGGTGTAGCTGAGAAGAAGGTGGAGGGTTGGTGGAGGTAGAATAGGAGGCAAGTGGCCATGCCACAGGGTCACAGCCTGGTTCAGCCTTTTCAGAAGGGACCCTGAAGGAGAAGAGTCTAAAAGCATCCCTCCGGTTCATGCCCAATGAGTGAGCCCCAGAAATAAAACTTGCTGACCAGGCCCAGGGACTGATGCTCCCAGACTTGCTCAAATGGATTGTAATGGGCATTGCCATTGGATGGGCTATCTCTCCTCTGAGAGATGATAGTGCCAAGTAACTGTGGTCACCTGTGACGTCCGAGCTAGCAGGCAGGCAGGCCAGCAGGTGCTGCAGACATGCTGTCTGGGCCTGGCAGCCAGACTTGGCCCCTGGTCCACCCCCCACGTAACTGAGGCTCATCCCTCTGATTAAGAACTGCAAGCACGGAATGGGCCATGCCCAGAAGATCTGGAATAATCAGCATCAGCGGTTTGCCTTTGCCATCCAAGACTGCAGACACGCTCTCATCTGACCTAATCTTTGGTGTTAATGACGGCAGAGCAATTTTGAGAGGCAACTCACAGCATCGATAAGGAGAGGAAAAGCACGGCGGGCTTTGGGGGCAGAGCTCCTCTCAGAAGAGGCAGCTGCTGCCCCCTCCCCCCAGGCCCTCCCATCTGCCCCGCTGGAGATGATGGACGTGCAAGAGTGGAAGTGGGAGCATGCAAGGGGCAGGGAAGTGGGGGCCACCTATACCACACCTTAGAGCAAACTAGAAAAAGGCTCTGGATAAATACAGCCTTGAGTCAGGTAAGACACATGACTTACTGGGCAGAGTGTGGACTGGACTTGAGGCCCCACTGGCCCCTTCACTGGGTGCACTTACACGGTAAACACCCTGCACCACTGTACATGGCAGCCGCAGGGAAAGAAGTAAAGACAGAGGACATGACAGAAATTGAAACCACCATGGCACTAAAGGGGGAGGGGAGATGCAGTGTCTGATTCCATCCATTAATAGAAATCCTAGAAGGGACTTGGTGGGAGACCATCCAGGTTAAACCCCTTCTTTTGCTAAAAAGCTGAGTGAAGGGGAGTGATGGATTCAAGGTCACTGATTCTTCGATTAGAAACTCCACTAATAACAGCAAGGTCAAGTACACAAGACAGTGAAGGCCTGTTTCAGAAGAAGCCACGTTCTGTTGGGTAGAGACAAGAAGGAGCCTTGGGGTTCTCCACGCCCCCCACCCTCTCTCCTCCTGGAGGGGCAGCAGCCTCCCTGATGCCCACCATCCTCCCCATCCCCGCGGCCCTCCCCGGGTCAGTCCAGCTAGCTCAGTCTGTGTTCATCTGAGCAAAGGGAAGCCAGGCTCTTCTGCTGCTGGCCTAGTGGCCCTTCTCCCTAGGACCCACACAACCCTCCCCTGCCCCAGGGTCCCTGGGCCCTGCTCTTCCCCCTCCCGTGCTTCTTTTCCTTCCAGGCTTGGGGGCTTCTCCAGCAGAGCGAGGCCTACCTGCCGCTGCAGTCTAGAGAGGGGAACCTTCACAACAAGAAGGGGGCACTTAAGCTAAAGTCAGGATGTGTCTCTCCTCGGCCCAAGACCCTCCCCTGGCTCTCATCTCCCTCTGTGGTAAAAGGAATGGGCCACAGGCTCTTCCCATCCCACTCCCACCTCCTCTTTTCCCCTCAGCGACTCCATTCCAGCCACACGGCCTCTTCACCGTGCCTGCAGGTTCCTCTTAGGGCCTTTGTACCTGCTGTTCCCCTAGGCTGGGAGTCTCCCCTGGGTCCCTTGGACCTCTCCCCAAATGCCCCCTCCTCATGGAGGCTTCCCTGGCACCCCGCCTAACGTCTCGTACCTGGCCACCCCATCCCCTGGGCCTCCTGCGCTTTTCTCACAGGAGTCTTCTTGTCGGTTTTCCTGGAGACAGACGGGCTTCATCTGTCACTGCTGTGCCCACAGCCCCTGGGACAGCACACAGATAACACATAGCAGGGGCCTGATTTGTCAAATGGCTCAATGAGGAGTCCACTCTTACCCCTGGAAACATAGGCCTTCATGAGGCCCCTCAGCCTCTGCCCCCCAGTGGGGACAGGGCCTGGGTCTCCGTCACCACACACATCTCATCGACCCTCCACCCAGCAGACATTTATTTGGCATTGATTATGAATTAAGCTATTGAATCCTTGTTTGGCAACTATCGGTTTCCCTGGGCCTCCTGGCCAATACCTCAGGGGGGACAGGGATTCTGATGTATTTATCTTATTTATGGGGGACCTGCCATGCGATTAGCTCTGCAGTAAGAATTTAACAGCCATCGGACATTGAATCCCCATAGAACCCTGCGATGCTGCTGTTGTCCATTTAACAAACCTTATCCCCCCCACCCCCGCCCGCCCCGATCTGTGTCTCCTGCTGTGCCAGCTCATTACTAGGGTAGAGGGGTGAGGAAGGCCCAGCCTTTTTAGGAGCTCAGTCCAGTTAGGAATTAGGGACCCCATTTTGAGTTAATGTTCTGGGAAAGCCATAGAAGAATGAGTGGTATTTGCTGCATTTTTTCATATGAGGGAACTGGTCCAAAATGGTTCAGTAACTTAACTTGCCCTGCGGACAACTAACTTGCCCAAACTCACACAGTTAAGTGGAGAAAGGACGCAAACCTCAGACCATGTGGGCCCCAAGCCCCTGTCTTCAGATGCCACCCAGGCTCCTCCGCGGCTCTCAGGGATGCATGCCTCTGCTCCAAGCCCCAGGCAGGGCCCTCACCAGGAGCCTCCAGTCTCTGCCTCACAAGTCTGACGAGCATATTCAGTGCCAGGGGGGTCTGTGCTCTGAGCCTTGATCTTCCACTTTTCACTCTGAGCATAGACATCACAGCCTGCCATCCCCCCAAGCCTTACAATTTAATCCAGTTTTTAGCTTGGTATTTATTATTAGTCATGAATTACAGATCTCAGTGATGCAAAGGACTTTAAAAGAAGTCCAGCTCACCTCAATCTGGAAACGGAGACCAAGAGAGGGACAGCAATTCACCAGGGTTGTTTGGACGATACACGGGGCTTGGCAACAAAAGTTTGTAAGTGCTGGGGTGGGAATTAGAGTATAAAGGAGCCTTCCTTCTTTACTTCAAGTCCTTCAAGGAGAGATGGTCACCTTGACTTTTCGTTGATTGACATGAATGTGCCTTCACCGGGCCTCTGGCAATCAAAGCCAAAGTGACCCTCCATTTTCCCATCCCTGCCATCATCAGGCTTTAGATCAACCAGCTTGGTTGCCCTAGGCCTATCCTCTCTGCCTGGTCCAAATTCTACCCATCTTTTAGGTGCCATCTCTTCCAAGAATCTAGCCTAGATTCCTCCAATCTGAATGAGTTTCTCATCTGTCCAGATGTTTTCTCTCCTTTCCCCCTCAGCAGGGGTATAACCTGCAGGCAGGGTCTGGGCCTTCTTACCTGGTCCTTCAGCCCCCATCTTTCCTAGCCTCAGCCTCCCTATTTTGTTGCTGGATTTAGT